TGTGTCGTTAAAGTTTCGTTGGAACGAAGTTACGGAAAAATCAATTAACAAACGGAGACGTAACAATACATATTGTAGAGACGGCTAATATGGATATTCATTTAAAAATTAAAACACAAAACATTATCACTTGTTTTTTGTTTTAAATGAAAGTTTTTGATACCTATATCAGCCGTCTCTACTATATATACTATTCTTATAGGTTCTCCATTTACCTATTAATTTGTTAAGTGTATCATTATGCTTTTTAATTATATATCTTAGAACTAGTCAAATAAATAATATGATTTTTTTAAGGACATATGACTAAGAGGGCGTCTGACAATTTTTCTCGCGCAAAAAACTGGATATTATGAGATGTGATAGACCGAAACAAGAGCGAATAGAAGAAAATTCAGAGAGTCATTGTAGTTAGTAGTTTTTAACTTGTTTAAACTAAAGTAAGAAGCTGTATTACATGAAATTTAAAGTTCAAGCAATAAGTTTGTATGTTTTGGTTAAGCATTTTTTCAACGTGTTTCACTGGCTGAACATGTAAACATTAAGAGTAAGTTTTCTTTAAATATTTTTTTTAATTTAATATTATGGGTAACAAAAGTTTCTGCTACAGACTACAGTGGTACTGCCACTGAGTACTGCTGCTACGCAGTGCTAGTATAACACTACTAGTAGTAGTGGACTTAAAATAAGACCTAAAACTCGAGCGCTTTCGAATAGTTGACTATTCTTCTTCAGGAGAACAAAAACTACTACTACTACTATGTGCTTTAACTTAAGTTTAATGCTTTGGTGACGTTAACGTAAGTTGTATTTCTAACGATTTTGAGCTGACTACGTTATTGAATTTTACTTCCCCTCCGTTCTTTACTGATTTGAATATTCAAATTTCAAACAGTATTTCTCACCCTAAACAGTTGCTCGAGGGAAACAATTGATGAACAAGATGATCATATGCACGGTATTTTTGAGGCGAAGTTAAGAAAAATTTGGATAGTAAACTCGACTAAAATCGTGTATTACTAATCTTGTGACATTATTTAATTCTGGAGAGGTTATGCTTATATTGATGCTGTAGATTTGGAATATCTTGATTTTCTGAAAGCATATAACAAGATGTCACATAAAAGCCTTATTAAAAAAATTAGCTCTTTGGGTGTGGAGGATAATTTGGCTCATTGGGTCAAAAAATAATGAGGGCAAGAAGCAGAGGGTTGTTATAAATGAAGCTTAGTGAAGCTGGATTAATGTCACATGTGGGATACCTCAAACTCAGTGTTAGGATCTTTGTCCTTTTTTATCCACTTAACTTAAGTGACAGATAAACTAACTGTGGATATATTGCTTATGATATTACTATATTCATTAGGTCATGTGTTTGCTGGTTGTGAGAAGGATGCTGCTGCTTTATTTAACTAAAGATTTAGATCATTCAGTGAGTCAGGTGAATAGCTGGCATATGACTTAATTTTTGTTTATAATAAGTGTAAGGCAATGCACGTGGGTTATCGTAATGTAAATTATAAGTATAATTTTATTAGGAATACATTTAACAATGACAGAGTTATGGAAGAAAAGGATATTGGTATGTTTTGGTTGATTAGTCTTTTAAACTTTTAAAAGCAGTGTGGTTTTTTTCTAGTGGTGCTGGAAAAGGATTTTGGGTTGTATTTACATAAATAATGAATATAAGTCTAAAAAGGTAATCACTACATTGTATAGGTCACTGTTTTGGCCTCATTTGGAGCATTATGATTAGTTTTGGCCTCTTTACCATAACATTAAGAAGGATATTGAAAGTTGAGTTAGTGGAATGGGTTCAAAGGAGAGATATTAGGATGATACCTGGGATAGAAACATTGTAAGAAGGACAGGTTAAGATCTCTGAAATTGTTTTCTCTTCAAAGAAAGAAGAGTTAGAGGGGATCTGATTAAAGTGTTGAAAATTATAAAATTAATAGTATTTATGCATCATCTTTTTGTGTATTTAATATTAAGAATGGTAGAATAAGGGGACAGAAATATAAATTTCTGCAGAGTAGGAGTTATCTTCAACTTAGGCAGTTTTTACTTTTTAAGCATGGTGTTTGCCTTTGGAAAGGACTGTCTTTCAAAGGTGGTGGATGCAGTAAATTTAAGGGAATATGGTTGGGACAATAAGCTGCTTGTCCTTAAATGTTATATTAATATTACTTTATGAGTATTAGTACTGTTGACCCCCAGTGGGGCAGTGGTAAGTCTACAGATTTACAGCACAATGATCAGGGGTTCAGTTCCTCTTGGTAAACACAGCAGATAGTCTGATGTGGCTTTGCTATAAAAACATACTCACTAGTACTATTAAAAAGGGAAAGACAAGAACTGATTTCTTGAAGTTGAATATATTGAATTTTGGGCATGTTGGTGGATAAAATAAAATACACAGCTTAGCTAATTAATGAATGAATATATGCTGTAAAGTTCTTATCAATGCTATAAGTGTAGCTACCAGTTTGGCCACCAATTTTGATTTCATTCCATTAAGTCACATGTTGAATCCTTTTTTTGGCTGCACCTTTTTTCACATATAAGGTGTTTTTGATTAGATATGATTTTTGTCAATAAACACCAACAAACAACACCAAACAAGAAAGTGATACTCAATAGTAACCAACATTAGCTTTAGGACTGCAACCATGTTATTCAGAATAGACCTTTACTTTACAGAACCAACCAGATTTTTTAAAATATATGGTGGTAGTTTATCTTCTCTAAAACAGTGTTAATAGCTTCCTTTATACTAATGCCATGGAATTTAGATTAACAGTTTCTTGTCATCACCACTGAGTGATAAGTTATTTAAAAAGCAGTGATTCTTTATTCTAGTTGAATTCAGAAATTTCCCCTTCTCATGATTTTTAGAATTCACATTTATTGTTGTTGCAGTTAACTTTTTTTTTCTTTCATCATAGATAACTTAATGTCAGTATGTGGGAAGAGCAATTTGATGTTTTCCATGAGAAAAGTATAGATGACTTTGGTGATTCTACCTGTAAAAAAACAATCTATGAAATGACAAAACTTAACCAGTCTATTGAACTTTTTAAAACTGTTACGTGTGATAAAGTTTCAAGTAGTTTGCATCAACAAGGAGCTTCAGACAATTATACCAGTGCCTTTAAAGATCAGAGCACTTATAACCGAGAACCTTTAATTTCGTGCAGATCTCAAACTTTACCAGTTGTTGATATGGATGAGTCAGCTGTGTTTTCAACAAATGATGTTAGCAATGCAATTTTGCCTTTGGTTGCAAACAGAAGCAGCTATGATGAAGATTGCAGCATTGATATTTATGAAGATTTGGTGTCAAATAATTCTTTTGAGTTAAAAGATAATGGAGAGGAAATGACAAACACCTCAAACCCTGCAGGATTTAACAATATAATTTCTAACTTGAAAGCAGATTTTGAGGATACTTATAATTCATGTAATATTGAAACTCATATAATATCTTTAAATAAAAAAGAAAGTGAGCCTACTGAAAATCTGTGTAATTCTCAGGAACCTTTGGATGAAGGCATCAGTAATAGATTCTTAAGCACCACAGTACATCAAAGTGCATCACAATCTACTATCATCAAGGAAGAAAATTTAGGTTTGCAGAAAGCACATCATAGTGAAAGTTTTTCAGAAAACTTGTGTAATCCAGTTCTTAGCTCTGAAACTCTCTCTATGTCTGATAATGTTAGACTCACCATAGCTGTGAAACCAGAAATCACTGGAGTTGATTATAAAAGGTCTGAAAGAAAGAAGTGTGAGAATTTAGCCGACAATGAAGAAAGCTTAACGGGTGGATTGGACCTATACTGTGATCTTTTTGCTGGTGAATTGGTAGAAAAACAAATAGCAGAAAGAAAGGTTAGTTAGTAAAAAATTTTTTCATCATATTTTTGCAATATTAAAATAATAATGAAACCACTTATGAAAAAAATGGTTCAAACCACCTACAAATTTTGAACTCCTAAATAAAATTTTCATTAATTATTCTAATATTTGGAGGGACAAAAAGTAAATTTTAAACTGTAAGCTTCTGTTCTTTGATTAAATCAGTTTTCCTTATAATAGTCCCTTTTTGATCTTTTTGCAAAATGTGAATATACTTCTTACAGTGTGGGGATCAGATTTATTTCAGTCTTATACAAGTATTAAAGAAAAATCTTGCCTTACTAATATAACTTATAATATAATATATATATGCTGGTTATCATGAGGATGGTGAAAAGAATGAAAAGGCTCATGACTTAGCAGTGGATAAGGTCACTTAATCCATTATGGCAGTGATCTGTTACTATTAGAAAAGCTAATCAAATTTTATTGTGTATTTACAAACATATTGATTACAAGTGAAAAAAGGGTAGTTAGTTCTCCATACAACATAATATAACCTATGGACAACAAGGGACCATTTGGCTCTTTAAGATTGTTCTTGCATGCACTTGTTTGCTAAAAGTAAAATTTAAACCCACCTTTCATTTTTCAGGAAACCATTGATTCCTTTCATAAACTTTTTTAAAATGCTGACTTTCACTGTTGCTAATAGCAACTCATCCCATAAGTTAATAACCTTATTAGAAAAACAAAATAGTCTTAATTGGACTTAGCCTGTTTTTTTTCTTCCAGATTTTAAAGTTTTGTGAGATTATCTTGGGGATCAGTAGGTCTGCAATTTCTTTGTGCTTTATTCCATAAGTAATAGTACAAGAGGATACAGTTTTATGGTTTGGAAAAGACAGGTTCGACTTCAGTTGAGATAATTTTTCTAACAGGTAGGTTTGCTGATGGAATGAGCTACTGTTGATAGTATTGGTTATCAGCATTTTACAAGAACTTAAGAGGTGAATCAAAGATTTCATGAGAAAATAGAGGGTGGGTTAATTTTTTACTTAGGTGCAGAAGAAAATCTCAAAAGACCAAATTGTCTCTTGTACATTGTTATGTTATCTTTTATAACTTAGATCAATAAAAGACAATACTTTATAACAATACTTTCTATAAAATCGTTATTACTCAAACAAACCATAATTTTTATAGCCTTCAATTTTGTTTGGTTACAGAGCTATCAATTAGAAAATCAGACCCCTCCTGCCACACCCACCTGTCACATCCTCTCTTTCACAATTCATTGCTAGTTCTCTCACATTTAATTATATATTACCTATAACCAATAGAAAGTCAAGGTTTTCATCTATCAAATGATGTATAATGTTATGTTCTGAACTGTTAAGTATCAATTTCATTCAGAGGGAAAGTTAACTGCTAGCTTGGATGAATTTGTATCAGCTCTTGTTGCATAGTTAGAAAGCCAGGAAAATTTTGAGAGGTAAATGAAATTGTCTACTTTTTGCAAGTTATTAGTCTATATTCTTTGATGCATTATTTAATTAAATAAAAATTATTAAGTGCATTACTATCTGTAGTATAAAAAATTAGGGTTAACTCTCTTCGTAAACCTGAGAGCAAGAAAATAGAAGATGGAGTAAGTACTTTATTTCTTGTTTTTCATATTTATTCTTTATTTATCATTATAAAAGAAATTTATATCTAAAAATATGGATCTTTTTAAGTTATTTAAGACTAGGTTAGGTAAAATAAGTAATAATAATATAATTAAAATGGTTCATGAGGCATGCATATGAGCGTCTTGTGGGTAGTGTAATTTGATAGCGTAATGTGAGCTGCACATTCCCCAAAGGATTTACAACTTATAACGGCATGGATAGTAATTAGACACAGTTCAAAGGGCAATAAGACAATAAAATTTAATTATAAATAGATGGGTGCTACTATAGTGTGAGGTCTACCACTGCACTATCCATCCCTCATGGATATCACACATTTCCATACATTTATTTTAGTGTTAAACACTTAATTTGATACATTTTTATACATGTTTGATAGACCTGGTTAGGCGCCATATGGCGGTAGACCTCACGCTATAGTAGCACCAATAGATGTATACTGTTACGAACTTAGAGCTACATTGGTTAAACGAATGTAGTTTCATGTTACAATTTGAAGTCATTCTAGAAAGAAAAAAAAGGGTAATTTAGGTTTATTTCGATTTTTTTTTTTTTTATGGTTACGAGGTTGTTCAAATTGACTTATCTCATTTTTGAGATAGGGTAGAAAAAATATGGATCAACTATAAAATTTTAGTGAAAACAACGTTTGAAATGCATTTAGGAGGTTTTAGGGATTACACAAAGAAACTTTGAGATTTTTGAGATGAGGAAAAGTGTTTTTAATTTTAACATGAAAATTTCTTTGCACACGGACTATTCAAAACAAATGCTCAATATATTCATGGATAAAACTTTATTTTATTTTATTAAGAATACTTCACTAAAAAATGATTTTTTGTATGTGAAAGACTTATGATATAAACTGAAAGTCTGCCAAATTTTGTGAAGATATACACACTATATTGAAAGTTAGAAGTATTAAATGTATAAAGACTTGAATCAAGTAAAAAGAGGTCATGTGGTCAGTCAAATTGACAGAGCCTGTGTTGAGAGAGTTAAATTGAGTGGGAACAGAGGGGAATACTGTTTCCTTTATTAACAGAAACAAAAATCATTCCCTTTTGTGACAGGTACCCCTTTAAGCACTTCAGTGCAAGTCACTGAGTTACATTCAAAATTTAAACAACTTTACTATCAGTGCATGTGAATGAATGTAACATTTTAATTTATGTTATGATTCAAAATTTTGTGTTGTCACTTGACCCATAAGCTATGAAAAATCTCAACTTTCATACTTCTTGTCTTGACTTCTATAATGGCAATCATGTAGATGTATGTCTAGACAATTAAGTACGTTAACTTGCCCTATTGACATGTAAATTTCAAAATCCTCTAGTTGAATGGAATAGAAACAAGTAATAAATTTGGGCAATCTCTGATGGGTGCCATGTCCAGCTTATATACTTTTCGTTGATCTGAAATATGTATTTTAAAGCTACATTAATTATCTTCTGGACAGTCAACTCAGTGAAATAAAGGTAGGGTTACTGTGTCACAGCATCCAACTGCAAAAGGTTTTAATCCAGATGTAACTGCTAAATTTCTTGTTTTTGTATTTATATCTTGTATTTATTTTTATATACATTTAAAAAAATAATCAAAATGTAAAAATTAAAAGCTTTACAAGATCATTGGATGAGGAAGATAAACTCACGGTTGTGTGTGACTGTAATTTTTTTGTTTTTCTACCCTAAGCTCTACCAGAAACATCTAAATGGGCTCCCCATGATTGTGCTTTCATGCACAATTTATGGTTCAAAATTACAGTTATAAAACCATAAAATTAAAAGTAATCAAAAGTATAAAGGCTGGAAGTCGAGGCTTTTAAGACAAGTAATTGTATTTGTCTGTTGCATTCTACAGTCATTCTTAAAAAAGGTATTATTCATTTTATTTTCTATTTTTCAACTTTTAATTTCAGTATAAATTGATGATCACTACAGTTAGTGTTAGGAAAGAAAAGAGATTTCACTGTTGTTTGGGCAGAGAAAATAAATGATAAAATATAAAGTTTTATCAAAAAATATATATTAATTGAGGAGGTTATAATGGCTATGCAAATGAAATATGAAAACTGAAAAACAAAAAGGGAATTTTTATTGTTAGCATGAAAATCATCTTTAAATTATGCTAAAGGCTTCACAAGTTCATAAACAGATCTTTAAAAAAATACTTTATCAAAAAATCTGATTTTCTGTGCACAACAGACTTGTAATGTTTACTAAAAGTCTGTTAAATTTCATGGTTACATGGTGGTTACAAGATTGGTAAAACTGACTGAACCCACATGCATCAGGTTAATATCATCACCAAATTTAGCTAATTTATTGACAGTTGCTTGGTCATTGATGTCAATGAAAAAGAGCAAATGTTACACTGCATTGTATCAGACTTGTGATGAATTAATCTAGTTTTACTGAACTTTATATATAGAAACCCTCTATTTTCTTCCCTTCAGGCATTTGTCAATCCAGTGAGCATACCTATCCACCACATCTATAGAGAGAATTTTTTAACAAGCCATTTATGTGGCACCTTGTTAAATGCTTTCTGAAAATTCAAATATACCAAATCAACACCATTGCCCTCATCTACATAAGCAGTAACTTCACCTTGTCAGAGAATGTCAAATGATTAGTAAGGCCAGATTTTCCCCTACTGAAACTATTTTCACTATCAAAAAAATTTTAAACTTTAGCAAATTACTTTGCAAAGCATCTTTTATTAGACCATTTCCTACCACTGATGTAAGACTAATAAACTTATAATTAATTATACAATTTTTATCACCTCCCTTAAAAAGAGGAGTAACATTAGCCAACTTCTAATCCTCTGGCAGCTGCTCACTAATCAAAAACTTACAAAGAGTAGTAGCAAGTATTTCATATATCCAATCCTTAACCTCCTTCAAAACCCCTTTAAGATCTGGTCCAGGAGCCTTGTCATTTTTTAAACTTCCTAATTTTTTTGAACAATTGCAGAAGTTACGTGATTATCTTGTTCATCAGTCATGTTTCCCTTCAGAAACTGTTCAGGAATACTGCTTGAATCTTCATTAGTAAAAACTGAATAATAATAATTCAGTAATCTAGTCATCTCATAATCATCAGAAATAAGGCCCTACTCCTATACTAACATCTTGCTTACCCTTGATGCATTTAAAAGAAATCTTTACTATTAATGTTTATGTTTTTAGCCAACCATTTTTCATGTTCACTTTTTGATTGTCTAATGTCCTGTGTGACTGACTCTCTTTATCTTCTATAATCCTCTAAGTATACTGTCATAGGAGTCAATTTAAACTTCTTAAATCTATAATGCTTTTCTTCAGTTTTA